GATTAATTTGAGTGTTTAACCTTAAATAATCTAAATTACCACCCAGGCTGAATAATCTCATCCTCAGAAGCGAGGAGATGATCTGATCTCCGTTTCCTTCGGCTTTGGAGGGGAAGAGTGCTCAGGTCCCCGGAGGTGAAACTCTATTAGCACCCAGCATGAAAGTCAATGAAAGGACCCCAGCGAGCGCCGGTCCCCTGACAGTATTAATGTTTAATGATATCTAAAAGGGCTAATTCCCCCAGCCCTCCCTGTTGCTCTTATCCTCTCATTAAACATCCTCGCGATGTCTTCACTTCCTGCGATTGGAGCGCTGACCCCGGCTGCCGAAGAACTCACCCTTCACCGATTATACATTCATCTCGCTCCGGCTCTTTTCCTCCTCTTTTCAGAAACCGAAAATGTTAGCGAGGAACGGCAGAACAGGGCCGAATTAGAAAAATTAAAAAGTGAGTTCATGGACCGGTCATCGCTTTTGTAATACATTTTAATCTCTGAATAACTTTCTACTCATTCAGTCAAACTGAAAGCTGAAAAGGAACAAAAACAGAATTAACTCACTAAATCTGCATAAAGCTGATGCTACATGTTCAAAGCCACGGTTCTTTTAAAGCATCTGATCAGAGTTTACAACTCCCATGTTTCATTTCTTTGAGAAGGAAGAAGCAGAAATCTCACTTAAATCTTGACAAACGTTCAAAACTTTGTAAGTTTCAAACCTGAAATTATTTTGGCATCATTTTCTCGAGATAACCAGTTTGCTATTGTGGTATCTCAGGCTAACAAGCTAGTTTCACGTAGTCATCTGGAAAAAAAAGACTTCTGGTTTTCTTTAAGGAGGAATTAATATTGTTATTTTTACTTGTACATGTTTTATTGTTTAAAACATGTACATCTTTCTTTCACATGTAGCTCACTGGAGAGGAGGCAACAAATACTGTATTTTTTCATGGATTTTTCTGATCATATTAGCCTAGGCCTTACTGAGTATTGTTTATTAGCATATAGCTTTTAATCCCTTCTTGGTATTTGGTTCAAGCTTTTACCAATGTTACCCTCCTGATTTGAAAATATCGACAGATTGTATGTCAGGTTAAGCCTATGCAGGTGTTTGTACAACAGCTTGGAATACCATTGAAATTGTCTTTTTATTATTATTATTTTATTTTTATTACTTATGGGATTGATAAGTAAAATCACATTTAATTGACAGCAAAATTATAGTCAAATTAGCTGCAGCTGCTGTCTTTGGCCTCCCTTCAAAACAAATGCATAAATACACAACCATACATCTCTGAAAAGCAGAAGTGGAGCCTCCTGCACAACTAACAAGAATGCAGCAAGTGGTTTCTGGATGGTGAGTCAACCATAAAACGATTGTCTTTTCCAAACATCCTGGCACTCTGCTGGGGTTGCTAGGTAACGGGGCGGAACTCTGCTGGGGTTGCTAGGTAACCCCGTTGCCCAGTAACGCTGCTGGGGTTGCTAGGTAACAGCTGGACTTTCTCTCGATGAAAAGCAGTTTTTGCTGATTTCTGACTCAACATTCGAAAGGTTTTTGAAACGACTTATTTTCTGACACCAGATAAAATTAACTTATTGCTAAAAACTGTCTTCAGAAGCAGTAGAAACCCTAACTGTGAATTTTCATAAAAGGTCTCTTTAAATGTCAGAAAATATGCTGGAAGCTGAATGAAAACATTCAAGTAAGTAAAAATAATGTGTCGTAATACTTTCCTCTAACCTGAGGCGTTCAGCTCCAGAATATACAGTGACATTAGAAACACAGATGTTTCTCCCCTGGCAGAGAAAACCTTTAACACACCGCCAAGCGTGCCCGCACAACATCAATATATCCACCAGGACACACAAGCTCACGCATTGCAGGCCAGCGAAACGTCCAAGGAAATGCTTATTCCCACAAACACTCCAGAGAGACGGCGCAGCACTTAAGTGGTCACCGTCAGGAGCTTAGCTGGCCCGGTGAGCATTTCTGAAACTGCTTGTTTGGTTAACTCTGTCAGCCAAACACGCAGCAGCTCCATCATTCAGTCCGACTCCTGGCTCCACTTTGAAGTCTTTGTGAGGAAGATGACTGGGGCTCCTCGTTTGTTAGGGGGATTAGTTTATTGGGGAGTGTGCATCTTAACTGAGCAGTTCAAGGATTTCTGCATCAGAAGGGTTTTTGTTGCTGCTGCATGCTGACGCCGAATGAGCATCATGCTAACACCACAACTGATGTGTTAGACGATCCTTACAAGCACACAAAGCCGGAGTTTTCCCTTCCTGGACAGTTTCAGGTTCCTGAAGTTCACAGACTTCTGATGTTGCAAAGATTGTTGAAAAGCAGCTTCTGTGGCTCCATGGAAAAAAATATCAGAAAAACTGCAGCAACCGATTCAGTTTATCGTCATCGCAGTTATAAGTCAAATACAGAGAGTTCAGGTCCAACAGCTTTTTCTCTTCCAACAATATCCAAATGAAATGAATCAGATGAGTTATAGAAGCGAGGAAGGGAGAGAAGAAAGGAAGTGAAGAAAGAAAGAGAGTAAAACGATAAATTCAGGCATGAAGGGAAGAAAATAGGTGAGAAAGGATGGAAGGTCTGCAGTTGTATTTTCTTCTGCATCGTCAGTTTGCTCTCATTAATCTCCAACTGGATAGTTTCATTCTTACTCAAATTTACTGTCGCTTTCCTCAATAAAATGTTTAACTTTTTTCTGAGTCCGTACAGCAATAAAACAATCCTGCAGCGTCTGACCTGATACACAAACAGAGCAGAACAGCTACATTCACCTGCAAACGTCTGAAAAAAATATCAATTGAAGGTGCAGCATATAGCTTTTCTCAAATGTAGCTATGTTTCATAAAAGCTACATATAAAGTGAGTGAAAAAAAATTCTGCTCCTTTACCTTCTCCCTGTTTGATTGACAGCATTAAGCCCCGCCTCCTAGTTCTGATTGGCTGTTTCTTCAGATGGCAAGATAGTTTTTTTCACAGATTATGTTTTTTTTACATATTTTTATTTTTTGTTATAAAAGTTACATACTTCAGCTTCAACAAAATATTTATAACCTTTACATGATAAGCTGATAATACGAATTCAAAATGATGAAGGTTTTTAAATGAAAACATTTCCAGTTTAGTGATTTTTCTGTCTGATTCATTGAGTCTGTTACTGGGACCAGTTTAACCTTTCATCAGTCCCAGCAGGTGTTCTTCCTTTTTACTCCTACTAGATAAAGTGTGCATTTGATTTGACTCCTTGCTACTGAAAACAAAAACAGGAAGTCTATGCAAAGAATTAACACAACAAACTGAGCTGCCTTTGTTTTTTCACCTATGTTAGGTGGATATTCTGCATGCGGAGCTGCACACAGCGTGTTTCCTGCATGAACTGCAGGAAAGGTGCAAAAAGCAATCGACCAGGCTTCCTCTGGAGATGGAATTGCTAGCCGTAAATCTTGAACATGGACGTATTTATGAGCAGAAACGTTTGCCTTTCCGCCGGCTCATCACACGGATTGTCTGCTGCTGGACTGGATGTTTGCTTTCTGCTGGTTACACACACACACACACACACACTATGCACACAGACACACACTATGCACACAGACACACACTATGCACACACACACACACACACACACACACACACACACACACACACACACACACACACACACAGACTATGCACACAGACACACACACACACACTGTTCCATCCTAAACAGGAACAATAGGTACATATATCTTTAAATTAGCTTCAGTTGACGTTCTTAATTGGTCCATCTACTGTTAGCACCTGTTATTCTGAATGGCAGTGATGTCCAAACGTTTTACAACATGAGCCAAAATTGTCAAGTCAAAAGCTCTCGTGGGTCAATAAAATGCTAAAAACTAAAATCACTGTTTTTTTTAATGTTCAACAATAAACTAAGCCTATAATATTTCAGTTAAAGTGGACATATTGTACAAAATTTACATTTTGCTAATTTTTGTGCTTCCATTTGGGTTTCTGCGACTTCCAAAAAGAAACCCAACCACTCAGACATTTTTGTCATTAAGTTAATGTTTAGTTGTGTTACTTTAAAAGTGACAGTAAATTTTTTCTATACATATTTATCAAAAAATATGTTATTTTCTCTTAAAATCTCAATTAAAATCTTTCACATGCTTTATTTAGCTGGGCAAAAATAACTCTTTGGGTTGTAAATAAGAAAAGCAGAACAGCTGTTAATAACATGCCTATTACAAATTATTATTCTGCCATGGTTTTGGCGCCCCCTCTAGCCAATAATTAAATGGCTTTTATTATTATTAAAGCCATTTAAATAATAATTATTATTTAAATATTATTATAATTATTGTAAATTATTAATAATAATTTTAAAAAGTCATTTAACCTCTCATGAAAGATTTATTATTTTAATAGTTGTTAATTATTTTGGGTGAATTGTTGTCATGACCACCAGTTAAAGGGTTAACTTTTCAGGAAGAAAAAAAACTCTATTATCGCTCTTGACCAATGAGCTCTTTCCAAGTGGCGCATTGTCCCGCCCCCCGCCTCGGTGGCTTCCTCCTTCATTTCCGGTGCTACTCGAGCGAGCTGCTAACTGAATAAGGAGACGGAGATTCACGGAAGAAGAGGTAAAAAAAAGGCATATAAAGCGAATGGTTTATGCTTCTTAACATAAGCATAAACCATGCTTATGTTAAGAATGGTTTTATGTATGGTTACTGCTAAAACGATGAGTTAAGTTCAGCAATGTTGACTAGTTCGGTTCTCTGTGCTTCTGGTTGTAGAGTGTGGAGGTTGGAGGAGGCGCCATTTTGTGCTGATGTGCTGTCACTCCGGTGAGCTAATTATTTCACTCATTCATTCTTTATTTGCACTTTTATCAGTATGTTGTTGAATAGAATGTTTATAGCATTTATTAAATAAGGTTTTTATAATTTAAAGTTTTATTTGTTTAAAAATGTGATTGAATTCGTAAAACTGTGAGCCATTGAGAGAAGACACATTTGAAACCAATGCTAACATTGCTAGTTTCACTATTTTCATTTGAAAACATGGTAAATGTTGCAGGCAGTACTGCTGAGTGTGAACCGGTTTTGAAATGTTGGGTTTTTTATGAGTTTCGTCGACGTGTTGGGGTTTTGTATTAGTTGTTGTATGTTGGTTATTTGAGTGTTTCATGTTCTCAAAAGTTCATTGCAGAAATTTTAAAATAGTTTTTACATTTTAAACCTTGAATTTGCTCTGTTTTCCTGACAAATTAGATTTTTGACCAACATTCATAACCATTATTCAGTTTTAATTTAAACAAACTAAAAATCAGTTTGTGTTCCTATTTATTTATTTGTTTTAATTTGAGAGTAAAGATCCAAGCACCTCATTGTGAGCTGATGATTATATGGAGATCTTAGAGGCATTACTAAACATCTCCTTATAGAAAAATCAAACTGCCTGGTAATACATCTTAATGTAAAGACTAAAATCAAGTAATACTTCCTGTCAGAAAAATGACCGGTCAACAGTTTGCAACCAGTCATCTATCAGATTTATTAAAGCCGGCTCTTTTCATCCGCAGAGAAAATATGTACCAGTCAGGGGAAAACCAGCTGTGCAATAAGCACACAGAGGAGGAAGCCGTCTCATGATGCATGGAAAATATTTGGCTGACTTTGTATTAATATGGTGCTGGGATGCAGTGAACGCCTTAAACAGCCCCATATTTCTGTTTAGGGAGAAAAATCCGAATTCCTGAACTGGACACAACTCTGCAAGGTTGCAAATACAATTCGATTATAATAATTTAAAATTACCTTAAATCATATTAACACTACCTTTTTATGGACAGTAAAAATTGCAACATAATAAAGTGTTGTAGTATTTACCCACATTTTTGAGGTATTAAATCGCATTGTGCGCGTGCACCAGAAAGTATCCGGTCTCCCCTGGAGCTCAAAGCGATGCAGACACAGGAAGTTAACCAACAACCTCTCACTGACTGTAAGTAAAGACACTGTTTATTTTACGTTCATATTGTAAATAGTGACTTATGGTTCAGAAGAGTTGTCAGTGCTTTATGGAACGTAATCATTTCAATCTGTGACTACGGTTGCTTTTTGGGGGTGGTTTTAATCAAAACAGGAGGTAAATCAAAAATTGTTGGAGGTAATTTTAATGTAAAACAGTCATAAGAGATGCTACATCACTGATTTGTGTTCACATGAGCTTTTTCTGCATCACTTGGTGCCAAATTTTACTGGTGTTGCAACATCTTGACTCTGTAACTGTTTGTAACGGCCAACACACTCCTTGTATTTCCTGAATATTATTGGTTGTTAGTGTGATGATGGAGAATGCTCGGTAATGACGTGAAGCAAAACAATCTCAGCGGTAAATGAGAAATCATTCTAACTTTACACCAGATGTTGTTTCACCTGAATCACAGAACTGCTGCTTCTCCACAATGGCTAAGTTTATGTTAGCTGATTCTGTTTCTGTCTTTATTTACAGATCAACAGCAACTTCTATAACATCAAGAAACTGCCAGCAGAGGTAAAATGATTACTGAGAAACTCTAACTCAAGTAAAAAGGTATTACGAATACACAAGTTGTGCTGGACGATAAATTGATGCTATTGTGGATTTAAACACATAACTTTGAATTTTAAATGGTCTATTCAATGATTATCTAATTTAAGAAAAAGTTGTAATAAAACTCAAACTCATAATTTCAACAGATGATTAGGTCCTGACGAGTGTGCTCTTTCACACAGATGTTGCAGAGGATGAACACACTAGAACAACCATTATGAGGCCTCATCTATCACACACAAACTTTCAACAGCCCATGAAATGATCAGACTCGGTTTACTTCACATTTGTGCTGCAGGACTTTGCTCTGTGAACATTTACGTCCAATTATTCACGTTTCCAAAGAGCTTGAGGCGCTGCGAAAACCACAGCATTGTCTCTTTATTTCTTCTACTTCCTTATCTCCTCATCTATGTATTACCATGAAGCTCTGATAAAACACGTGAAACCAATTATTAACTACCAGCAACAACAGGGTATGTTTATCTAGATGTCTCTTTCTTTATTAATGCCGGTTCCTCATTACTGATTCAACTTGTCTGAAAACAAGATTTTCCAATATTACTGGTGAGAAAATCTGCTAGTGGAGCTAGTACGTTTTAATCAGTGTTAAAATTTTATTGACTTAAAATGATGTTGCTGAAAAGTTATGTTAGTGTACTTTAAATAAGACAAAAACTATTATATCTGCACCAGAAGTTGGGCCAAAATACCTGGTTAGATTTTGTATTTGCATTGGAGTGTTTCAACGTTGAATAATGCAAACTCCAAAACGCACACGCACACAAAGGCAACATAAAAACACAGCAAGCAGAAAAATACTGCAATCAAAATCTACAATAAAAAAACTAATACAAATTAAAAAAACACTGCAACAACAAATGGAAGCAAAATTATTTTTCTTGTATTGTGACTTTATTCTCACATTTATTTTTGTATTATTACAACTTTGTGTAGCATGTTCTCATATGACTTACACCTTGTATCTCTGACTTTATTCTTGTAACACTCTTACTACTTGTAAAATCATGACTATTTTGTTATTACGACTTTGTTCTCTTATTACAACTTCATTCCTGCAACTCTGACTTTATTCTCGTACTTTTAAAGAATTTTACTATCTTGGCTCTAATAAATACTCTGCCATACTTTTCAGCTGCAGTGTAAAAAAAACCAAAACTATATTTTGAGGCTTTTTTAAAGTTTTTACCAGGAGAAACAGTAAGTGTGAATGGTACTGCATCTTAATCAGTGCATGAACAAATTACGTTTAAAGGCCTTTTTTAATCTTTATAAGCCTCATGCTGTTTTGAATCCATAAGTTCAAACAGTTTATAGATAAGACGTCCTTTTTGGTGCCCGTCCCACTGGGGAAACCATATTATATCACACTGTTGCTGAAAAGCTGCAAAAATCTGATAGTACTCTCTATGAACCAGCATATTTATTACACTGGTTGCCTCGAAGGCATCTGGACAGCTCTGAAGCCCACGCACATCCAGATGAACAAAGGTCGATGCAGCAGAGGTGAGGAGTCGCCTTTATGCCGGCTGTAGTCTGGAGGAACATAGTGGTGCAGGTTTAAGATGTGTGTGTCTGCACGCTGTGTGTGTGTCAGGGGAAGTCTTATATCCTGTTGTGTTAAGCAGCGTTTGACATCCTTGTGCTCTCCCAACGCAGAGCCTTTCGCTGACACGAAGACGACACCAAAACCCAAAAACTCTTTGATGTTCCAGCTTTTAAACGTTTAATCCCAAACAAGCAGCAGATTTTAAAAGCCTTCTCAGTTTAAGAGTCTGTCTAGTTTTCCACATTTTTTCACCCACATAAATCCATAGAGAATCATAGAGACCTGTACCTGTTTCCCTTCCAAGTATTCAGATGTTCCTGTGATCAGAAAGTGGTCTTGATCAACAGCTCTTCAGATATTGTGTAGATATCGGGTGTTTCTTTGGGGTTTGCTGCTTGTTTGAGGCTCCTGAACATCAGCATCATGGTGCGCTAAAAGTTTTCAGCATTAGCCAAAGCAGTAGAGGAAAAATTAGCTATGCTGTTAGCACATTAGTGTCCGTCACTGGTTTCTGTGATGTCATAAAAATGATCCATCTTTACAGAATAAATTTCTGTATACAGAAGCAATTGTTTAGCTATAGCTAAGTGCTTATTTGACATGTAGTCTCAAGACGGCCTATGAAAAGTCGGGAGGTGATAAAGATGGAAAGACACGGCGGATAGGAAACAAAGATGTAGAAAACTGGAGGCTCTCGCCAGCTCTGACACAGTTTCAGAGCTCCATTAAATGAATAATGGAGGAGGCTAAGAGCATTTCCTTCATCTTAATGTGGGAAGAGGAGGAAGAAAGTTTTCAACGAGGCTTTTATGTGGTAAGGGGGTAACCTTAAAGACAAGGGATCTCCGTATGATTGTATTGAATTATTTTACTAACTATTTGAGCCGAACATTTCAGTTTCTTTCCACTTTCAGAGCTGTCCCTATTTTTCCGAGCATATTTTCCTCAGAAGAAACCTGGGAAAAGCGACCCATCGAAGTGTTTTCTCAACCTCTGACGTCCTTCCCTGCACCCCCTCCACTCCAACATCTGCTTAAGCTCACTTTTCCCGCTGACTTAGCATCCTTTTCTGCAGATGCTTCTGGAGCTGCACGAGAAGAGAGAAAAAACAGCAGTCTAAAAATAAAAATAAATAACAGCTTTGAGTAAAAGTGTGTCAGGGAAAGAGCGATGACTTTTGTGTTCTGAATTTCTTCTGTCGAGCAGAAAAATGAGATGAAGTTGAGAATAAGAATAAAACCAAAATATCTGCAGGTTCTGTTCTCTCGTCATGTACAGATATCACTTTTTAATTATTGGGGCCTGCTCATAGCGATGCATAAGGAGAGCAGTGACTGACGTGAAGCAGCTGTTCGGACTGCTTTTTTCATTCAAACTGACTGGATTTCTCACAAAGATGGAATTCTTTCTCCACCTTTCTGTCTCAAACACACAAGACAGCTGACAGAGTATCCGTTACCATAGCAACGGAACACAGCAGGGCAGAGCAGCTGATTAGGACTACAAAAACGCATCACTGTAGTTTTACCTATGGCAGAACTCTGAAGAAAAGGCTGGACTTTAGAACTGCTTGTGTTTAGGGCATTTTATAACTGATTTTAACCAACCAATTAGTGTGGCAATTTAAAATTAAGCTTAATGAAAATTTCAAAATAAAAGCCTTGACAGTTTTTACATCACATCATTGCTGTTTGGGGCTTTTTATAACTGATTGAACCCATCGGGGCCCTCGGGGCAGTCACCCCCAAACTGGAGCAACGGCTACAACAGATCCCAGAAACAACAGACATCTCAGTCCAGAAATGTGCAGTGCTTGGCACAGCCGAGATACTGCGCAGGACACTTAAGCTCCCAGGCTACTGGTAGAGGACTCAGATATATATATATATATATATATATATATATATATATATATATATATATATATATATATATATATATATATATATATATATATACGTATATACGTATATATATATATATATATATATATATATATATATATATATATATATATATATTTATAGGGAACGAAGGTTGAGGTGCCAGAGATACCATCATGGGAGGACAAGCGCCTACATGGGATGTACCACAAATAACCCAAGTGGCTGATATCAGTAAATCCTACCAATGGCTGGAAAAAGCTGGACTGAAGGACAGCACAGAGGCCCTCATCCTGGCCGCCCAGGAACAGGCCCTAAACACCAGAGCAATAGAGGCCCAGATCTACCACACCAGACAAGACCCAAGGTGTAGGTTGTGCAAGGAGGCCCCTGAGACAGTCCAGCACATAACAGCAGGGTGCAAGATACTGGCAGGGAAAGCGTACATGGAACGACATAACCAAGTGGCAGGCATAGTGTACAGAAACATCTGTGCAGAATATGGACTGGAAACCCCGAGATCAAAGTGGAAAACACCCCAAAGGTGGTGGAGAACACCAGAGCTAAGATCCTGTGGGACTTCCAGATCCAGACAGACAAAATGGTAATGGCGAACCAACCAGACATTGTCGTAGTGGATAAACATCAGAGGAAAGCAGTTGTGGTAGATGTAGCAATACCAAGTCAGGAAAAAGGAGAAACTGGAAAAATACCAGGGCCTCAGGGAGGAACTGGAGAGGGCCTGGAAGGTGAAGACCACATGCCTGTGGTGCCTGTGGTCATCGGGGCCCTCGGGGCAGTAACCCCCAAACTGGAGCAGTGGCTACAACAGATCCCAGGAACAACATCAGACATCTCAGTCCAGAAATGTGCAGTCCTTGGCACAGCCAAGATACTGCAGGACCCTCAAGCTCCCAGGCCTCTGGTAGAGGACCCGAGCTCAGAGGATAAGAACCACCCGCGGTGGGTGAGAAGGGGATTTTTTATATATATATATATAGAGAGAGAGAGACAAAGAGAGAGAGAGTGTCCTCATTTGACACCAGTTTAACGGTTGGTTCTTTCCAGAATCCCGTTGCTGCCAATTACAGCAGGAATCACAGAACATCCGGCACTGTTCTCAAACCAGAATCTTGCCATCTTATTGTTTTGTTCAAATATTCAACTCAGAAAGACACTTATCTTGATTGTCTTTCAGCTGTCTTTGTCCTGGCAGTAAGGTCAGACCATTAGCAGCCAACGGCTCTGTGATCCCAGTTTCCTGAGCTTGATGGTCCATCTTTTTTCTCCTTATGGATGATGTTAAAAAATGTAGTTTTCTGTTCTCCAACGGTGAACAGAAAAATCACTGCAAACACTGTGATATTCAGCTCCCCGTTGCATGCTGAATAGAAACCTGAAACTGCTGCTGCGCAAGTGACGCAACGGGCTGTTGCTTGGTAACCAAAGAATAAGTGAGTTGCTAGGTAACAATAACTGAATACCAGCTTGTTGCTGTTAAGCCGGGTTTACGTTTGGCAAAGGAACGGCACCCTTCATCTCTGCAGAAACCCTCAGCCTCAGATGCAACAAATCCACTTTCTTATCCAGTGGCCAGAAAGACAGTTGGAAATGGTGGCTTCCAACATCAGCTGGGTTTCCCCTTTTTCTGTTTTCAGGGACCATTTGACCGTTGGTCCTTCCACCCTGCGTGCCAGTCCATTGTCCTCAAGAGCCGCTGTCTCCCAAGTGCGGATTTCAGCCTTGGTGAGTATACCAGCTGAACCGTCTCCAGTGGCCATCAGCTTCAGCTGTAAAGTTTGTTTTTATTCAAACTTCAGCAGTTTTCTAGTTGTCCTTCTGAGGTGATATCAACTTGTGACATCACACAATTGATGTCACAAAGAGTGAGTACCCTTTTTGGAGTGAGAATGCATCACTTCTGAATCTACGGTCATAGCTATTGCAGCAGTTGGAGAGAGAGCACGAGGATTGCACTAATCGCACAAACAAGCAAATAATCAATTTTCTGATCGCTTTTCGTATTTGTCCAGAGAGAAAGAATAAAAATGAGCAAGAGCAGTAAGATAAGTAAGCCTTCCGATTTCAAAGGTGAGAAAATACAAGAGACCATGGCGAGACAGACGCAGCTGCTCAATGATATTGTAAAAAATGTCAGCATGATGTCCATCGAGCAAAAGTCTCTGCTGAACGGAAATGAGGAGTTGAATGCGCAAGTTCTAAACGTGAAAAAAGCTGCGCTTGAACTAGACACTTCGTGAGAAAGATGACGAATTAAAAAAGCAGTGACAAACAAAGCTTTAAGAAGAATATCGCCGCTCTGGAGAAGAAAAAGGCCACCTTGGAGGGGAAAAACGCTGCGTTGGAGAACGAAAAGAGCGCCTTGGAGGAGAAAAATACTGCCTTGGATACCCAAAACACTGCCCTG